GACTATCTATTGCATATTCAATTTCAGAAACGGTATAGGTCTCTCTAACGCTTCTTTCGTTTCGAGGGATAATTGCGGCATCCGGCTCAAGAAAGTGTCCTTGAACTTCGTAACATCTACTAATGTGGCTGCGAAGAGACCCTTGTAATACCGAAAGAAAGATTCAGCGATAGTGCTGTTAGTATTTAGCAGAATTCCATTTTCCTCTATTTCGTCGATGTGATTACGACGCGCTCGTGATTTCTCGATTCCAAGTGCGCGCTTGGTAGGAGTCTCCCCCATAGCCCACACCTCTGCTCTCGCTCGAATAAGGGCTCCTCTGTAGCGTTCCTGCTCTACTAGCTCAATTTGTCATTTCACCGTTCGAATATCTTCTTTATATGCACCGGGCTCCTTGCTTTCTAATGCTATAAATTTCTTAAGCGTTGTTCTGAGTTCATTTTCTTTCAATCTATCTTGATATTTTAAAGTACTAGATCTCGACATGGCTTTCATTTTAACGCTTTGCTTCAAAAGCTCCCATTCAATGGGAGCTTAAGAACATTAAACTGATCGGTGCCTGTAATGTTGGCGAGGACCTCGCCAACATTACAGGCACCGATCACTTTAATGTTCTTAATTCTCTCAATCACAAAATTGTTAAAAATGTCTTCCCGCAGTAGTTTAGCGTTAAAGTTCCATAAATACCAACTAAATTTGTTTTCTTTTTGTTTAAGTCCCACGTTGCATTGTACAAGACAATGGTCAGAGAAAGAGCTAGGTAAGACTGTGTAATACTGCTTTTAGCTAGCGTCTCCCCTGCCATGTATATCCTATCAAGACGTGCGTGACTGGTTCCCTGAAAATGCGTAAATCGAACTTCGCGACTTGCTTCGAGGCACTCCGCAACATCATCCAGGTCAGATTCATTCAGCAAGTCATAGAGCACTTCAACACTTCTGTCTCGCACATGGCGGTTATTAATTCTATTTTTTGCGCTCAATACACAATTGAAATCCCCCAATAAAACAAGCTGTTTTGGTGTCCGTAAATGTTGCTTAATTAACGAAAAGAAAGTTTCTCGGTCTGCCTCCACGTTCGGCGCATAGACACAAATGACGCGCCATTCAATTTCGCTAGTACTAAAATCACAAGTCACTGTTCTACCAGAGTCACAAGAAAAGTGACTTTCAACAATCAATCCCGGAATCTTTTTAACAAAAAGAACACAACCGGCCGAAGTTCCAGTTGCGTGACTAACTATGACATAATATTTAGACGTAAACCGCAGCACCATGCTCTGGGTCTCCTCCTCACCTTCCACTTTTGTCTCCTGCACGGCTAACACGTCAATATCTTGGTCAATTAACAGGCGATACACTTGAGCCTGCTTTTTCCTGGAGGCCAAACCTCAGACATTTAAGGTTGCAAAGCTCAATGCCCAGTGACTAGCTATCGTCACTCGCTAAAAAAAGGAGGGGGTAGGCCCGGAGCATGGTGCTTACCGTGTACGTCTAGCTCCCTGCTAGACGTCTCCGGGGACATCCGGTGGTCCGGCATCAGTTAGCTGCTGGTCCCTTGGAGTGCCAACCGGTCGGTCCACAGGTAGATTTGACCTCGCTCTGAGGCCCGAGCGCCGCCCCGGTGTCGCCTTCGCTGGTGGTCCCTCAACTTTGCTCTCGTGAGGAGTGCCCGCAGATTGCTCCAGCGAACGCTTGACCGCCGAGCTCGTGTTGACCCCGCGGGTCGTTCCATGCTGGTATGTCGCGTCCTCTCGCCGCTTGCATCGACATGTCCACCAATTGGCTTTGTGCGTCTTCAGTGGAATTCTCTTGGCTGGTGTCCGCCTTAGCCGTTTCTTTCTCCTCGGGTTCTGACGCTGTATCGTAATCTTCAGGCGAAACCGGCCCGCGTTCAACCAGAAAACTAGCCGCGTCTCCTGCCCCCTTAGCCGCGTCTTCCGCCTCAGCGGCGTCCATTGTCTGCTCTTCGATCTCATCGCACGTTGCAGCGCTCGTAACTGCTGCATACGACCAGACGCACTGAGCGTCTCGATGTCCAAATCGCCGACAAATTGAACACCGTGGCCCCCTGCAGTCTTGCCGTACATGACCAGTCCCTTTGCACCGCAAGCATTGCATAGGCCTTCCCGGCGCCACAACTAGGGCCAATTCCCCTGCAACGCGCACTTGATGCGGAAGGTCCTCCACCGTAACTCCACTCTTTAACTTGAGTAGCACGGTTCTCGTCGTCGACGCTTTGTCGCTGACGCCGTCGACTGTCCAGCGCTCTCGATTCACTTCGACAACATTGCCGAAGGCCGCGAACGCCGTCCGCACATCCTCATCGGCAACTCCGTAAAGCAGCCAATGAAGCCGCAGTTTTATCTGCCGGTCCTGGGGATCAACGATGAGACACCGGTGTCCCTTCACCTGAAGTTCCTTCAAGGCCAGCAGTTTCTTCGTCGCGTCTTCTCCGTTCAGTGTAACCGCCCAGACGTGATTAATCTGGTACGCTCCGAGTGCTATGATGTCTGTTAGCACTCCCATGGGGCCCAACGCGTCTCTGAAGTCTTCAACCCTGTAGGGTCCCGCTCAAACGTCTCCGTGCAAAAACACAGTATTTAAGGCAACGCGTTCTGTTAGCAGATGAGGCAGAATCACTTGGTACTCTTCAGTTGACCTGTTACCGCGGCCCTCAAGGGCCGCTGAAGCCGCTCCGACAGAGCCCTGCATCCTGCGTCCGTTCACTACCGTGGCCGAAAGCAGAATTGCGCCACAGGCCCGGACACGGCGGCTCTTCTCTTTGAGATCTACCCAGCCATACCTCTTCGTGGTCAAAGAGAAAAAAAAAATGAGGGAGAGAAGAAACGAGCCTGCCAGGATTCGAACATGGAATCTTCTGATCCGTAGTCAGACGCGTTATCCGTTGCGCCACAGGCCCGGACACGGCGGCTCTTCTCTTTGAGATCTACCCAGCCATACCTCTTCGTGGTCAAAGAGAAAAAAAATGAGGGAGAGAAGAAACGAGCCTGCCAGGATTCGAACCTGGAGTCTTCTGATCCGTAGTCAGACGCGTTATCCGTTGCGCCACAGGCCCGGACACGGCGGCTCTTCTCTTTGAGATCTACCCAGCCACACCTCTTCGTGGTCAAAGAGAAAAAAAATGAGGGAGAGAAAAAACGAGCCTGCCAGGATTCGAACATGGAATCTTCTGATCCGTAGTCAGACGCGTTATCCGTTGCGCCACAGGCCAGGACACGGCGGCTCTTCTCTTTGAGATCTACCCAGCCATACCTCTTCGTGGTCAAAGAGAAAAAAAAATGAGGGAGAGAAGAAACGAGCCTGCCAGGATTCGAACATGGAATCTTCTGATCCGTAGTCAGACGCGTTATCCGTTGCGCCACAGGCCCGGACACGGCGGCTCTTCTCTTTGAGATCTACCCAGCCATACCTCTTCGTGGTCAAAGAGAAAAAAAAATGAGGGAGAGAAGAAACGAGCCTGCCAGGATTTGAACCTGGAATCTTCTGATCCGTTGTCAGACGCGTTGTCCGTTGCGCCACAGGCCCGGACACGGCAGCTCTTCTCTTTGAGATCTACCCAGCCATACCTCTTCGTGGTCAAAGAGAAAAAAAAACGAGGGAGAGAAGAAACGAGCCTGCCAGGATTCGAACCTGGAATCTTCTGATCCGTAGTCAGACGCGTTATCCGTCGCGCCACAGGCCTGGACACGGCAGCTCCTCTCTTTGAGATCTACCCAGCCATACCTCTTCGTGGTCCGGACACGGTCGCTCCTCTCTTTGAGATCTACCCAGCCATACCTTTTCGTGGTCAAAGAGCAAAAAAAAAAAATAAGTTGGGGAGAAAAGAAACGAGCCTGCCAGGATTCGAACCTGGAATTTTCTGATCCGTAGTCAGACGCGTTATCCGTTGCGCCACAGGCCCGGACACGGCAGCTCCTCTCTTTGAGATCTACCCAGCCATACTCCTTCGTGGTCCGGACACGGTCGCTTCTCTCTTTGAGATCTACCCAGCCATACCTCTTCGCGGTCAAAGAGCAAAAAAAATAAATGGGGGAGAAAGGAAACGAGCCTGCCAGGATTCGAACCTGGAATCTTCTGATCCGTAGTCAGACGCGTTATCCGTTGCGCCACAGGCCCGGACACGGCAGCTTCCTCTTTGAGATCTACGCAGCCATACCTCTTCGTGGTCTGCACACGGTCGCTCCTCTCTTTGAGATCTACCCAGCCATACCTCTTCGTGGTCAAAGAGCAAAAAAAAAATAAATGGGGGAGAAAAAAAAACGAGCCTGCCAGGATTCGAACCTGGAATCTTCTGATCCGTAGTCAGACGCGTTATCCGTTGCGCCACAGGTCCGGACGCGGCAGCTTCTCTCTTTGAGATCTACCCAGCCATACCTCTTCGTGGTCCGGACACGGTCGCTCCTTTCTTTGAGATCTACCCAGCCATACCTCTTCGTGGTCAAGAGCAAAAAAAAATAAATGGGGGAGAAAGGAACGAGCCTGCCAGGATGCGAACCTGGAATCTTCTGATCCGTAGTCAGACGCGTTATCCGTTGCGCCACAGGCCCGGACACGGCAGCTCCTCTCTTTGAGATCTACCCAGTCATACCTCTTCGTGGTCCGGACACGGTCGCTCCTCTCTTTGAGATCTACCCAGCCATACCTCTTCGTGGTCAAAGAGCAAAAAAAATAAATGGGGGAGAAAGGAAACGAGCCTGCCAGGATTCGAACCTGGAATCTTCTGATCCGTAGTCAGACGCGTTATCCGTTGCGCCACAGGCCCGGACACGGCAGCTCCTCTCTTTGAGATCTACCCAGCCATACCTCTTCGTGGTTCGGACACGGTCGCTCCCCCCTTTGAGTTCTACCCAGCCATACCTCTTCGAGGTCAAAGAGCAAAAAAAAAAAAATGGGGGAGAAAAGAAACGAGCCTGCCAGGATTCGAACCTGGAATCTTCTGATCCGTAGTCAGACGCGTTATCCGTTGCGCCACAGGCCCCCCTTTTTTTTCTTTATTGCCTGCTTAGACGTACACATAGAAACACAAATACAGTCAGGGATCAAAAGTAATAATGCAAGGCACATAAGACATAGATACATAAATGGGCATGGGTAAAAGGAGCAACCAAACTTTGGCTGGCGTGTGATGGCTAAAATCGTCTCATGTTCATGAGTGGCTCGATCCTCGATACCCATTCAGGTATTGGATCTAAAGATTTATGTGCTCCCAGGAACCTGCCTACTGCATCGCGGAAGTACTCTTGTGCCGATCTTGCATCTATATCTACATGTCGTGCGGCCATGCAGGCCTTCCATATGCAGTGCAAACCCAGTAGCATAACAGCATCAAACGGGACACCTTCTTCGTTGTCCACAGTTAGGTAACGAATTCCTTGTGGGTCTAAAGGGAGGTCTTTCTTTAGCGTTCTTTGTAATATATCCCAGAAGAACACGCCTTCCCAGCATTCTAAGATGACGTGCTCAATGGTTTCGGGCTTTCTACATAAGAAACAGTGCACTCCCCATGGTACATACATTTCTTTTTCCTGTAGCCATGTTTTGACCTCTAGTGTCCCGGTGTGCAATCTGAAGAAAAAGGGTTTGGCTCCTGGAGCTACATACATATGTTTGACACGCTTCAGGACATCACTTCCAGACTTGGCACTATATATTGTGCGATACAAAGGCACGGGGAGTAGTATATCCACAAGATCTTTGTATAGCTTCCTTCGTTTCACTCCCGCCAGATATTCGCATGAGAATCGAGCACGCAAGAACTTATAAGCCATCACAACCTCCTTCAAAAAACCGACAACCCCGCCTTCAATACATTCGGTGGATACCACAAAGTCCGGCACAAGTTTGCAAAGTCTGAGCTGTAATACAGTGCGCAAAAAAGGGTCCTTCACATCCCTAAGGAAGCAGAACCGGTTCACTATTTGCCTCAGGAATAAGTGCGACAGGCCAAGACCTCCATCACGTACACGTCGGAACAAGTTGGTGCGGCTCGTCCTCTCCCAAATCGATCCCAAAACAAAAACAGCCAGAATCCTGTGGAGCTTTTGTATGTTAATGCGTGAGCAGTGCGAAACACTCAACACATACCAAAGTTTAGTAATGAAAAACACATTACACACCGTGGTACGTGCAAACATAGACAATTCCGAGCCTTTTGTCCTCTCAGTCCTCCCACGCATTTCCGCGACTTGGTTCTGCCAGTATGGTTCACTGTCACGGTAAAACTCTAAAAAGGGCGCCTAGGTATTTAGTGGGAGTGGAAACCCATTGTATGTTGGCAAAGGTACTGGGTTTCATTGTCCATGCTCCATGCCAGATTCCGAGGCTCTTGCCCCAGTTAACTGCACTGACACTAGTAACACAATAACGCTTCACAATTTCCACAGTTTTCATGATACTGGCGTGGTCCCCACAAAACACCGCGATGTCGTCCGCATAAGCGAGTAGTTTTACCTCCGCTTGCTGCATTTTAAAGCCATTGATACAGTTAACCCGTATTACGCTGAGGCACAAGGGCTCGATATATAAAGCGAAAAGTAACGGCGATAGTGGGCATCCCTGGCGCACCGACCGCTGCACTTCGATAAGCTCTCCTACTCACTTATTTATTATCAGCCTTGTCGTGCAACCCCTGCACGCCATTGCGACACCTTCCATAATAACAGATCCTACGTTCACGTACTCCAGAATGGCACATAGTATGTCGTGCGGTACCCGGTCGAACGCCTTTTCCAGATCCAACTGGAGAATTGCGACCTTCTTGCACAATACGTCACAACACTCTAGTATGCTTCTCGCCGTATGAATGTTCGTGAAAATGGTCCGTTCCTTGATACCGCACGTCTGTTGTGGTCCAACTATATCTTTCACTACTGTTTGCAGTCTTTTAGCCAACACTTTCATGAATATCATATAGTCGACGCTCGCTAAGCTGATAGGGCGATATGCTGTTACCCGCTTTAATGTGTCGCGATCATCTGTTTTCGGGATAAGAACTGTGTGTGTGGACAGGAATGAAGGTGGTAGTCGTTTGCGCTCATATGCATCGTCTAAAATGGTAGCCAGTATAGGGGCTACTTCGTACTTGAACGCCTTATAAAAATCGGCTCCTAGCCCGTCGGGCCCGGGAGATTTCCCACATTTCAAATCGTCTATCGCCACCGCAATCTCATCGGCCGTAATACGGCGCTCTAACATTTCCTTTGAGCTATCGTCAATCTTTGGCATTAAAGGCATGAATTCCGTCTCGAAACCCTCCGCGTCCACCGGGCAACGCGCGAACAGCTTTCTGTAGAACGCTGTGAACACGTGTTCGATGCCACTCTGTTCATATAAGATAACACTGTCTTGTTCTACTTCGATAACCTCGTTCCGGCGGGCCCACTTTTTTTCCTTTGCGAGGGCTCGTTTAGTTGGCGCTTCACCTGTTATCACTGCTTCTACTCTAGCTCGCACCAACGCCCCCCGATAGCGTTCGAAATCAGCCTGCTCAAGTTTTTGCTTCAGAGTGTTAATGTCGTCTTTGAACGTCCCAGGCGATAGGCTTTCTTCGTAAGTTAGCATTTGCAAGCTTTGCCGCAGGTTTTCCTCGTACTTATTCTTTTCGTGCTTTAAAGCGCTGGCTCGTTCAAGTGCCTTCAATTTTGCTGTTTGCTTAAATGTTTCCCATTTCTCAAATATTGTTGTTTGTCTGGTTCTTTATCTCTTCGAGCAGGGCTAACACTTTCTCACAGAAAACATCATCCTCCAAAATTTTAGCATTAAGTTTCCTAATTCCCACGCAAACTTATTTCGGTTTTTCGCTTTGTTATTAACATCGAACTTGACTAGACAGTGGTCACTGAATGACACCGACTGCACACGATATTCTTGCGCAAGTGCTATCAATTCAGCCGGAACGTACACTCTGTCCAGTCGGGCGTGGCTGGCTGCTTGGAAATGCGTGAAGCGCACAATGCGGTCGCATTCCAAGCAGTCTGCCACGTCCTCAAGCCCGTATTCATCAATTAATTCGCGAAGCTCAGCCGTGCTGGCGCCTCTATACGCTGTACCACTTGATTTATCACGCGCTGCCAGTACACAATTAAAGTCCCCCATCACTACCAGGTTCCTTTCGACGTTGCAGTAATTTCTGACACTCTCGAAGAAATGTCTTCGTTCGTCGAGCAAATTAGGAGCATAAAGGCATATCACTCGCCATTCAACTGAACCATAACGAAAATCACACAAAACCATGCGCCCCGCCAAGTCTGACCTCACGCCTTTCACTTCAATGCCCGGGTGTTGGTGCACAAAAAGAACGCACCCCGCGGATTGCCCTATGGCCTGACTCACACCCGCGTGGTACATTGACATGAAAGGTAGCACCATACTCTTGGTCTCATCATCACTTCCAATTTTGGTTTCTTGTATGGCAATGATGTCTAAATCATGTTCGATCACCAGTCTATACAACTGTCGTTGCTTTCTCCTTGCCGCAAGCCCTCGAACATTGATTGTAGCAAATCGCAAGGAGTTATCTGACAGCGCCGTTGGAATAATTAATAATAGAGACCCAGAGTATGGGCTTATGCTCCTGTCTACACATGACCTTGGGGCCCGCAACGTAGGTCGGGGCTTACACAGCTTACTGCTACGTGACCGGTGGCGGTGGCGGCGGCATTGTCGTCGCCGTCAGCCTCCGATCCTGTGGGATGTTCGGCCGTGGCCGCACTGTCGGTCGACGTACAGGGGTTGCTTTTGCTGGAGGTTCACCGCGACTGCTTGGGTCGGTAGATTCGCTCTCTCCCTCGGCGCCTTCGTGTGATCGCTTATTCGTCGTGGTGCCCTCCTTGGAAATGTCCATTTCCTCCACTACTTCCTTGTTGACCTCCTCTGTCACGTTGCTTTTGTCCTCCTGCGTCTGCAGTGCTTCCGAGGAATCATTTTTCACCAACAATGTATCTTCGGCTTTGAGGTTCGTCGACTTTACGTGAGCACTCTCACATGAGATTTGCTCAGCTGGCACACTGTCCATCGTGGCACTTTCTGCCTCCACTCTCGCTGCTGCCTCGGAATCTGCTTCGTCCATTAGGAGCTCCGAAGTGTCGTCGCTTCCCACGGGCCCTGCAACACTGGCGTAGGTACGCACGCATTCCGACTCGTTGTGTCCAAAGCGATGACACAACGTGCACCGTGGTACCTTACAGTCCCGACGAATGTGTCCAGTGCACTGGCAACGAAGGCATAGCGGTGCCCTTCCCGGCACCACCACAAGAGCCAGCTCACCAGCAATCCTTATTTGATGGGGTAAATCTTCTGGCTTGACTCCCGCCTTAAGTGTCATCGTCACATTTCGCGTCGTTGACGCTTTGTCAGCCACACCACTAACCTTCCACCGTTCCTTGATAATGTCCGTCACTCTGCCATAGTTCAGGAAGGCCGCTCGCACGTCGTCGTTCGGTACGGTAGGCAGGAGCCAGTGCAGCTTCAACCGAAGCTCCTGGTTCGATGGATCGATGAGGAGGCAACACTGGCCCTTCACTTTCACTTCCGCTTCTTCCAGCAGCCTCTTCGCACCTTCGGCACATTTGAACGTACCGGCCCAAACGTGATTCATTTGATACGCCCCCAAGGCTGTAACCTCGGAGAGCAGTTTCAAATCACTCAGCGTATCCCTGAAGTCTTCTACACGGTAGGGCCATGCCCTCACATCCGCATGCACAAAAACAGTATTCAAAACCAGACGTCCTGAAGGCAGACTAGGCAGGACAACGCGACACTCGTTATCCGAGGCAGCTATCACCCTGTTTCCGCGGCCAGAAACGGCCGCTGATACCGCTCTGACAGAGCCCATTCCAAACGCGTCCGCTCGCTATCGCGGCCGGAAGTGGAATCTTGCGCCACAGACCCGGACACGGCAGCTCCTCTCTTTGAGATCTACCCAGCCATACCTCTTCGTGGTCCGGACACGGTCGCTCCTCTCTTTGAGATCTACCCAGCCATACCTCTTCGTGGTCAAAGAGCAAAAAAAAAATGGGGGAGAAAAGAAACGAGCCTGCCAGGATTCGAACCTGGAATCTTCTGATCCGTAGTCAGACGCGTTATCCGTTGCGCCACAGGCCCGGACACGGCAGCTCCTCTCTTTTGAGATCTACCCAGCCATACCTCTTCGTGGTCCGGACACGGTCGCTCCTCTCTTTGAGATCTACCCAGCCATACCTCTTCGTGGTCAAATAGCAAAAAAAAAAATAAATGGGGGAGAAAAGAAACGAGCCTGTCAGGATTCAAACCTGGAATCTTCTGATCCGTAGTCAGACGCGTTATCCGTTGCGCCACATGCCCGGACGCGGCAGCTCCTCTCTTTGAGATCTACGCAGCCATACCTCTTCGTGGTCCGGACACGGTCACTCCTCTCTTTGAGATCTACCCAGCCATACCTCTTCGTGGTCAAGGAGAAAAAAAATAAATTGGGGAGAAAAGAAACGAGCCTGCCAGGATTCGAACCTGGAATCTTCTGATCCGTAGTCAGACGCGTTATCCGTTGCGCCACAGGCCCTGACGCGGCAGCACCTCTCTTTGAGATTTACCCAGCCATACCTCTTCGTGGTCCGGACACGGTCGCTCCTCTCTTTGAGATCTACCCAGCCATACCTCTTCGTGGTCAAAGAGAAAAAAAATTAATTGGGAGAAAAGAAACGAGCCTGCCAGGATTAGAACCTGGAATCTTCTGATCCGTAGTCAGACGCGTTATCCGTTGCGCCACAGGCCCTGACGCGGCAGCACCTCTCTTTGAGATTTACCCAGCCATACCTCTTCGTGGTCCGGACACGGTCGCTCCTCTCTTTGAGATCTGCCCAGCCATACCTCTTCGTGGTCAAAGAGAAAAAAATTAATTGGGAGAAAAGAAACGAGCCTGCCAGGATTAGAACCTGGAGTCTTCTGATCCGTCGTCAGATGCGTTATCCGTTGCGCCACAGGCCCGGACACGGCAGCTCCTCTCTTTGAGATCTACCCAGCCATACCTCTTCGTGGTCCGGACACGGTCGCTCCTCTCTTTGAGATCTACCCAGCCATACCTCTTCGTGGTCAAATAGCAAAAAAAAAATTGGGGAGAAAAGAAACGAGCCTGCCAAGATTCGAACCTGGAATCTTCTGATCCGTAGTCAGACGCGTTATCCGTTGCGCCACAGGCCCTGAC